AAACAGGTTATCTTTTTTTGGGGGGAGGGGAGAAGTGTTTCATCGTTATTGTATATTTTCAGTTAGAGATTAGATTACATTTAGGTAGGTTTTAGGCAAGTTTACTTGTATTGAATGAGAAGGACATTCCATCTCAAAGATTCTGTAATAACATCAAACTGATGAACTCAATCACATATACTTTAGAGGTATGCTATTTTTTTTTAAACATGAAACACATACTTTATTAATTTTTCTATAGAACATCCCTGTTGAAAATACATTTAAAAATATTCTTTTATACTTAGATGTCATGCTATAATACAGTGTGAAATAATGGTAATGGAATAAGCAAAAGTGATTTATTTCATACTCGCATTCATAAACAAAAGACATTGCACAAATAGTCTGAAGAAACAAGGTAATAAATACAGATTTTCTAGTAAAGTATTATTTATTTGTACAATGACGTAATGACCTTGCTGCTTCTTGGAAGAAGTAAACTGCTTACTATGTTGATGTGAATTAACTCTTTCTGATCACTATAGTACCATATTCAGTAGATTTCTGATCCATTCTCCAACACTAATCACCTGGTACAGGTACAGTTTTAGTCAACCTACTTTAAAAGAGGTGCACCATTTTGCCCAGATCCCAGATTTTCCTCTGTTCTGCTCCAGGATGGCTTTTCACTGAAACTCAGATGCTTAAGAAAAAAAAAAAAAAACCACTTCATCTCTCGCCAAAAGCTAGTTCATTTCCAGTTGTTGCCAACTCTCAAGACTAAGACTCCAAATTAGACAATACGTCATGTCTTTTCCCTGTTATCTGGACAGCTCTAGTCTTACAATTGTGTCTTAAGGATATTGTTGTATTTGGAGTTCCAGCACATGCTGGAATGTGGATACTGCAACTCAGGAAAGAAGGCTACTTAGTGATAGCTTTGCTTTGTCTTTGGACCTACCCTTTAGCTACCATTTATTTTCTTGCCAATGTAGACATTCTATATTTACTTAAACATACTTTCCTTACTCATACAACGTATATCATTTAGGTTCTTTAACTAAGGAACACATACAAAATCAGTGATAAGACTTAGGCTGCCTTTTCCTGGATTCTCATTTATGTCTTTGAAGTTCTAATGAATGTATTTTCAGATAGATAGAGTAATTTATAAAGTGTTTACTATATGCCAAGTACTGTGCAAAGTGCTGGGGATACAAATACAAGCAAAAAGAAAGATAGTTCTTTGACCTCAAGTAGTTTATAGTCTAATGGGAGAAGACAACATTTCCCACCCACCTGTACTCCTTTGGACTTCTCTGTCATGCCCCTAAGAACCTCATCCCCTTACAAGAAGGCATTAGCCTTGATACTTATACCACATCAGTACTCTCTGTCCCTCTGGCTGAAGGACAGAGTCATGAACCCCTCCCAAAATCTCCATTTAAGGAAGGAGCCTAGACCAGCTAGCTCTTTGTTTCCCACCCAATTGCTTTCTTGGATTTCTCCATAATCCCCCCCTTGCAAAGTATGTTCCCCTAGTCCTCCTGCCCCCAAGCTTTCAAGCTTTATTGTGTGTGTTGTCATCCTTCATCAGATTGTAAGCTCCTTGAGGGCAGGGACTGTCTTTTCGTATTTGTGTCCCCAACATTTAGCACAGTGCCTGGCACCCAAGAGGCCTTTAATAAATGTTAACTTGTAGCAGTCAGTCAACTAGCATTTTTTAGATGCTTTGCTAAATGCTGGAGGTACAAAGAAAAGCAGAAAAAAAAGTCTTATTGTCAAGAAGCTCATAGTCTAATAAGGGAGACAAAATGTACACTTGTACAAACAAGATATGTACAGGATAAACTGTGGGTAGTCTCAAGAGGGAAAGTGCAAGATTAAGAAAGACTGGGAAGGACTTCTTGCAGAAGGTGTGACTTTAGCTGGAACTTGAAGGAAGGCAGGATGAGGAAGAAGAGAGTTCCAGGCATAAGGGACAGCCATCAAAAACACCTTTGAATCAAAGACAGAATGTCTCATCTCTGAGAACAGCAAGGAGTGCAGTGCCACTGGGTTGCAGATTATGTGGAGGGGAAAAAGGTGTAAGAAGTAGGAAGGGGATAAGTTATACCGGGCTTTGAAAGCCATACAGCAGATTTTCTATTTAATCCTGGAAGTATGGAGATGTATTGAAGTTTATTGAAGGGGAAGGGGCAGGGGGTGATATGGTCAGACCTGTGCTTTAGGAGGACCTTTGACAGCTAAGTAGTAGAATGAAGGATAGATTGGAATGGGGAGAGACTCGAAGCAGACAGACCCACCAGCAGGCTATTGCAGTAGTCCAGGCATTCTGCTAATGAAGGTACTAATAAGTACCTTCTACGAAGGTAATGAAGACTTACTCCAGGGTGCATGCAGAGTCAGAGGAAAGATGGGGACTTATACAGGTGATGTTACAAAGGTAGGGACAACAGGACTTGCAACTGATTGGATATTAGATGGGGGGGGATCAAATGACATCTAGTTTAGAAGCGTGGGTAACTGGGACAATTGAGGATGGTACCCACCAGCAAGAGTGAAGGTTGAAAGATAGGAAAGTTGAAGTGGGGAGAAGATGGTGAGTTCAGTTCTAGGCATATTGAGTTTAAGCTATCTTCAGGACATCTGTTTGGAGATGTTCAAGGTGACTAAGAGGCAGTCGGAGATGGACTGGAGGTCAAGAGGGCAGTTAGGGCTAGATAAGTAGATGTAAGAGTCATGCGTATAAACAACAAATAAAAAGTAACTGAATAATGGAGAAGGTGGGTGGATGGGAAGGTGTCATAATGGGGGCGGGGTGGAGAAGTCATCCTGGGAGGCATGGGTAGAGCCAGGTTTGAAGTGAGCTTGGCTGATGCAGCTGCTTCTGGAGATTGAAGATTCTGGGAAAGAACATTCAATTAAAAGATTATTATCAAAAGAGACCCATCAGGCTGATGAGCTACAAAAAAGGGCAAATTCTTTGGGATTGAATTATTGTTAGTATTTCTAGAATCTCTAGCACCAGCTACATGACTGTCTTTTTTTTCTTTCTTTTAATTTAATCTCAGTGACCTTGCAAGGTAAGATTTAGGGTCGTTGCCAAGACTCTTGGCCTATTTTATAGCATCATTTTGCCTCCTCTAAGAGCTTAATTCTGGTATTTGAAGTCCTTAAAGATGGGCATTATGTTAGCAAAGTGATAAAATTATGGCTATTACTACTTATGCCCTTTTTCCCATTTGCCCCGTGTACTGACAAAATAAGGTTTATTGACTTATGCTTAAAGGTATGAGATTACACCCTAGAATCTTGGCATAGTTTTCTTTAAGGCTCGCCTAAGGTACTAACACCTTCTGAGTGCCTTAGTTATTAATAGTCTCCTCACCCAAATTTACCTGTATTTATTCGCCTACATGCAGATTGTCTCTCTGGTAGAATGTAAGGTTCTTGAAGGTAGGCGCTATTTTGTTTCTGCCTTTGTATCTCCAGCACTTAGAACAATTAGCAAGCCCTTAATAAATGCTTAAAAATTTAAAAAAAGGGGGGGGGTAGCTAGGTGGTGCAGTGGATAGAGCACCGGCCCTGGAGTCAGGAGGACCTGAGTTCAAATCCACCTCAGACACTTGACACTTAGAAGCTGTGTGACCTTGGGCAAGTCATTTAACCCCATTGCCTAGCCAAAAAACAAAAAAAAACAAAAACAAAACAAAAATAAATGCTTAAAAATTAGAGGCAATTAGTTCAGTAGAGGGAAACAGCAAATGTAAAATTTCATAGTCATCAAATACGTTTTTTCCATGCCTCCCGCTGTTCTGGGAATATTAACAAACCTTCAAAGAAGTCAAGTGACTTACTCCACATCATTAAGGAGGCTGGTGGCCAAATGAAAAGTATAATCCATGTTTCCTCCTAACATAGTCAAATCAAATAAGCAGAGGCCCAGAGCTTAGAAGAAGTCCTAGTATGACCAAGTAAAATATTTACAACCCAAAAATACAAGCTATAAGATTGTTATTCTTTTAAACTACTAATGGTCCCTGACAACAGATGCATCATCTCTGTGACACTAGTTGAGCTGGCAGGAACTAGTGGAAAATTTGTGAGCTGGGAAAATATTCTATGGGCATGAATACTTTTTAACTAACTATACTAACTATAAAGCTGTTATGAAGTATGCCTCCCTCCCTCCCAGTAGACCTGTTTGGGGTCAGTGAAAGGGGAAAGAGGAAATCTCTGAAGGAAAAGAAAGAGTGGAGCAGGTAAGCAGGTGAAGAGTAAAAGGCATTCCAGTCCATTGTTGTTTCTCCCCATTTTTTAGGTTATCTCATTTTGGCTTTGAGAAGAAAACATTTTTTAAGGGAAAATACCCAGTTTATCATGCCTTTTTCAAGGATGGTTTCTAGGAGTATTGAGGTCGTGGGGCTGTTGGACCTTTAAGGAGATCCTATAACTGCTTCCCCAGAAGAGGCCAAAGGGCAGAACCCTAATGAAGCACTAATCTATTTCAGAAAATTCACCTTCTCACTTTTTGAGGTGCCCTAGGCACTGTCAGTTTCTCTGAAAATGGCTCTTTCAGCATTCATGCTTAGCACTGCCCCACACCCTCTTCTCCATCCCCCACCCTTCTAGTTATATTCATTACTGCTTTCCCCAGAAATGCAACTTCCAGCTTTCCATGTGATCCAATCTTTGTTCTTTATACACTACTGCTTTGTTTGTAGATGATGCCAGGCAAGCCTCGAATCTCTGCTTTGGGAACTGATTGGGATTTGGTTCAGTGACTTTCAGATGCCAAATGAAATAGGCCTCTGCTTCAGGCGAAAAGGGAGAGACTAGCTTGCATCAGCTTATAGGGGCCAATTGTCTCCATACATTGTCCTGGAGGGAGGCTAAGGAACCTAGTGGACGTGCACAGATAAAAGAGAAGCGGGACTGTCTGGAAAAAGAGTGGCACAGATTTCAAGTTAGTAACAATTTCATTTACTTCTTTCCTTATCTCATATTGCCCACAGGTAAATTCTACTGTAAACCTCACTACTGTTACCGACTTTCTGGATATGCACAGAGGAAGAGACCAGCAGTGGCTCCTCTGTCTGGAAAGGTAACATCTAATTTTACTTCATTGGGTATTGGGAGGTAGGAGGGAGAGAACCATTGAATACCGTTTGGGGGTGGGGTGAGGGTAGGTATTAGAATAAAGTAATAACTTACTGAATATTATAGAACTGGTTAAATAGCTGTTTGTGAAATCATATGCAACTCTTAAGGAAGGACAGGAACTTTAGGAAAACCTGGTAGAAACAGTCCCTGTCAAAGGGACCCAGGATCAGTTAAAGAAAGTTTGAAAACAGTATTTCAAAGGGAATCAGATTCTATGCTTTCTTTGGGTTCTTTAAGTCCCACTACGTAGGTAAGGTTTGGAGATTAGATGGGTACGCCAGTCTCTCCAGCTTTAGTCCTTATAATATTATTTATATGACATAAAATAGGACTCATGCTGCTTAGTTAAGTTTCTTCTCCACTTTTGGTAAGATGAGGTTCTCATTAGGAATGTCATTGGAGTCACATTTGAGGTCTCACTGCTTACTCTGAGATGTGGCTAAGTGGAGAAGAGACAAAAGTTAAATATTTTTTACTTCCTTTTAACCATCCTCATGAATTCCAACTCACTTAGGGTGTCAGTTGCTTACTGAGAGCTACTGTTTTGGGGACATTGTTTTTTTGGGTTTTTGGTGTTAGGGTTGTTTTGGGGTTTTTTTTTTGCAACAGCAGCTGGCCCCCTTATTTCCTCAGTTTTGTTCATAAAATAGATTTCACTCACTGAAATAGATTCCATAGCATGAGTCAGAAAAGATCTGGGTTCATCTCTTGGCTCTCACATCCCTATTTGTATGATCTTGGACTAAGTACTTAAATCTCTCTGATCCTTAATTTTCTCATCTGTAAAATGGAAATAAAACTTGTAAGTGCTGTTTATTTCACACAGTTGTATTGAGGAAATGTGTTTGTAAACTTTCAAGCAATATTCAGCTCTAAGATGTGGTGATGCTGGTTGTCATCGTTGTGAATGGAGAAAAACTGGAAGGAAAGCTTGGATGAAACTAGAATTTGACTCCTGGTTACTTCTAAGATGAATCTGGTCCAGATCATAAAATATCTTATCTAGTGATTTTTAGAGTCTGAGTAGGGCATGTGTATTATTACCAGGTGTGGAGGAATCCCACAACAGTGTAGTATAGTACCAGAGGGCAAAGATTGGTGAGATAGTTAAAGGTAAGCCAACTTTCCAGGTCCTCTTGTCCTTCTAGGCTAGATCTCATTTGAAACTTTGTTGCTCCTTCATGGAATCTGAAACTGTCAGCTATTGACTGTCTTACCCTTTTCTCCTTTCCTAGGAGACTAAAGGGCCCCTGCAGGACGGTGCCGCAGCAGACAGAACTGGACGATCTGACTCTACCACCAGCTCAGTGGAGAGGACTCCAGGTAGCCTCGCTTCCTTGTTTGGCTGGGTGGTGCAGTACTCTCTTGGTCTCTATGACAAGGCCAAGGGGATGAGCCATCGACTCCAAAGCACCATTTCCTCGCTTGGGCACCAGGTAGCCCAAAACCCTTTGGACTCCTTTTTCATGTGTCAGCTGCTTGCTTTTGCAGTCCCCTTTCTCTATGTACTATACATATTACTCATACAGATTGTGGGGGAATTTCGCTGGCAGGCTGCTAGCCCATAGAGAAGCAGTTTGGAGAGCTATTAGAAATTGCTGCTAAAATAGCTCTGGGGCCAGACTCCATCCATCTCATCAGGTAAATTGTGCAGATCTCCTCCAGGCATGCAGAGAGTTACAAGACAAATTTCCCATGTCATTGACCCCAGGTGAGAAACCTGGAGATACAAAGTCTTCATATAGCTGACCATTTTGGACTTTATTGGCATATTATTTTGGAATTGAGAAGCCTCACAATCTGGATTTTTTGTTTTCACTTAAATGCTAGAGATCCCTCTGTCCTCATCCTTTCATTAAGTGTCTGAATAAGATGCTGATGCTGTATTTAGTTCCTAACTGTTTAAAAAAAAAACACACACATCCAATTCCTGTCTACTTTGGTGGTCAATTGTACTTCCCTGAATTTCAGAGAATCTTTCATTGACCATCCCTAACAACATCAGCACGCATGTTAGTGCCACTGTCTTTACTTTAAAGAGGTACTTATCTTAACTAGTGCTGAGGGATGGTATAGCAAGGGTGACCAGAATAGAAGTGAAGTGGGAGGAGGAAGAAAGTTTGTCCTTTGGATAAATAACCTATTATTGAAAACATATGGTTTTATTCTTCAAATTGCTTTTTGTTTTATGGATTAAGGCTGTGACTATGTTTTCATATAAGAGATTTAATTGCATATATCCCTCTTTTTTTAAAAAAAAAAAGAATGTCTTCCAAGCAGCCATTTAAGAATACGTGGCTTTCAAAGTGGGGGGAAAAAGGGCTTTAGATTTTTGCCAGGAAATTGGGTTTTAAAACTGAAGAGTGTGATATTAGCAAATGTCCAGGACTGTGAACTAGTTGGTAATGAAGGTGAAAACAGAAAAGACTTGTCCCTCTCTGCAGCTACCCACTCACAGGCTTTAAACAGCATCTTCCCAGAGATGACTCCTTCCTGTACCTCAAAGCCTGTAGAAATCACTCTGTGGAAACCAGCGTGTGCTCCCAGCTGTGAGCTGGGCAAGAATGGCAGGGCTGGGTGACTGGTATATTGAGCCATACCACAATCTTGGCTTTTTGTATTATTCCATAGTACATATAGTCCATTCTATAAATCTAGGAAACATTTTCATTTACTATCCATGTAATGAGACCACCATTTTATACAGTAAACCAGTAGTAATAGTTAACCCTTAGCAGTCCTTGATGCCCTCTCCTCTGATAGATAAAGTACTGACAGCTCTCCACAGTTGACATTTATGAAATATCAAGGAAAGTAGTATTTCCATGGTGGAAAGACTAGGAAGGAATCTTCACAGAACCTTTTTCCTTGTCCTTGAATGCACGTTTGACTGAGTAAGAAAGCTAACTTGTAATCACATGTACTGGTCAGTCTTTGAGTCTTTCAGAGAAGTCTGTTTTGTATCAATGAAAAAATATGGAGGCACTAAACTCACAAGGATATCTTTGAAAAGAATTGAACTGAGTTATAAATTCAGATCATTCCTGACCATATCATATTTCCATTTTGCCCACCTGGTTTTGGTTTCTATTCTTGTCCACTAGTTGAGAAAATCGTAATTTTCAGTTTTGCAGCAGTTTAATTCTTCTTTTAAGCCTGTTTCTTTTACTTGTGTTCCCTGTATTAATTATTGTTTTTACTGCATTGTGGTCTGTAAAGGATATGTTTAGTAAATATTGGTAAAAGTCAATTTTTTATTTTTTTAAATAAAAATTAATAGAAATAGAAGTTCTAATCTTTCTGTACCCCAATGGGATATTTATGCACACCCTACTTTGGAGACCACTGCCTTAAGAAATTATGTTTTTTTAAAGGTACTATGTGGTGCTGAAATATATATATATGTATTTTCTTTAATGTTTCCATTCAGAAGACACCATAAGTCATTAGATCCAACAGTTTTAACTGTTCAGTCCTATGATCTCCTTTGTTTAAATTCTGATTAGATTTGGCTAGCTCTGAGACAGGAACATTAAGTCTCCTACAGTTATTTTTGTCGTTTTCTGCGCTTTTTGCCATTCAATTAACTTTTTTTAAAAATTTAAATGCTTTGTCATTTTGTTCAAACGTATATGCTTGATTTTTTTTTTACATTTCCCTATCTATAATATTTCCCTGATTATCTCTCTTGAAATTATAAATTTTGAGTTTTTTGCTTTGTCTGATGACATGATTATATCTCTTTTTTGGATCAACGTGTTGTATAGGAAAATTTGTTCCAGCTTTTTGTTACAATAATAATAGTTATAATAACAATACCTATTATTATTTTTGCTTCATAAATGTCTGGTTTTTAGATGTGTTTCTTATATACATCAAATTGCTTTGTCTATTCTGCCACTCTTGCATTTTATTGGCCTCTTTAATCTCATTCACATTTGAAATTTCAATTGTTAGATTTGCATTTTCCTCTTTTTTTTTTTGGTATTGAGTTTCATCACCTTCCTTCTTTATCCCTGCAATTTGTTTACACTACTTTGATGCTATTTTATTCCCTTTTACCTCCCCTTTCTCATTCTTTGGCTTTACTTAAATTAATTTATTTTTATTTATTTATTTGTGTTTTTCCTTTTATGACCTTCTCTTGCCCCACTCAAATATGCTTCAAAATCTTTCCTTCTCCCACCCTTCCCTCTTGAACCTCTTAAGTTAAACAACATTCTTTTGCTGTGCCCTTTCCCAAGAAGTTTTCCTTTGTTATGATCTCATTATTATTCTTCCTTTCTAGTCTATTCTGAATTCTAGTCTCCAATTCATGAACTATACCCTTACTTATTATTTCTTTATTCCCTCTGTGTCTCTTTAAGGGTAGAATATTTGGAGTACCAAATTGGAACTCTTTCCCATTTTTATATTATTCCATTTTCAGATTTTACCCATACTTGGCTCTCCCTTAGAAATATCAATTTATGAAGAAAGTAATGTTGAATTGAAACACTGTTCCGAATTTTGAGACCTTATCCTATTGTCTTTACCATTATCACTCTCTACTCATAAAGCCAAATTAGCCTATCTCTGGTTCTTTGTCCTCCCTATCTTGGGATGCTGGCTGCCTTTGGGGACTCATGCTTACCTTTTTCTTTGGTGGATCACAATCCTGAGGAGTGCAACACTTTCTACAGGAAGATAGTTTCCTAATGTGCAAATTCTCCCTAAACAAAATATTAGGTCCCTGTCTCTTAACACAATTATGCACCTCCCCTATTTCAGATGTAAATGTTCCTCACTGAAATGATTTAGCCAAAGTCACACAGCTACTACATGTCAAGTGTCTGAGTCCAGATTTGAACTCGAGTTTTCTTGAATCTAGGGCTGGTGCTCTATCCACTGTGCCCTGTAGCTGCCATCTAGGACACATTTCTTTGCCCTTTCAGCGTAATCCTCCTTACCTTCTTTTTACTTTCCCCTCATTGCTTTTATCCTATTCTCCCATAGCCCACACATTTGAAAATTTACCGGATCCTTCTGTATTCATCTATGGGTTAGGTACAGGTTTTCCTTGGCCTCTTATCCTCTTTCTCCCTTTTCTCCTACATTCCCATAGTGATTATCTTCTCCATAAAAGAGGTTGATTCGCTTCTTGTAAATCACACAGTTTAGTCAATGAGTGAATGAAAAACATTTGTTAGGTGCTTTTTTATGTCAAAGCACTATGGGATACAAACACTGAGAATACAAATAGAACAATAATAATCTAATTTAAGATTAACTTATGATCAACTCTTCTACCTTTCCTTCCTGTTTATTTCATTTAAACCTTTAGCCCCTTAGATTTTTTTTATCCTGTGAGTTTCTTTACTGATTTTGATTACTTAGTCTTCTCTTATAATTGTATTTACTTCCTTTCTTGTGTTTTGTTTGAGGAGTTTGCTAGTCAGATATTCTAGTCTTTTTTTGTTTTTTTGCTTTTTTTTGTTTTTGTTTTTGTTTTGTTGCAGGAATGCCTCTTGCCTCTCTTTTCTTGAAGTTACATCTTTTTTCATTGATTAGGCTCAACTTTGTTAAATATGTACTTGCGGGTTGCAGCTTAAGTTCCTTTACCTTTTGGAAGGTACTGTTCCATTTTCTCCAATTTACCATAACTGCAGAATAATTCTGGGTTATTCAAACTGGTGTTCCTTCACATGGACTGTCTTTCTCCTGACTGCATGCATAGTTTGCTATTGAAATTTTGAGATATAATTACTGTATGCCTTAAGGTTTCAAACATGGTTTTTTCCTTCTCCTTTGGTCGTAATCTATGGATTCAATCAATTACTGCTTCGTGTTCTACATTTTAAAGTTTTGAACAGTTTTCTTGTTTTCCTGCCTGTTTTGGTATTCAAGTTTTTTAATTTGTCATATTCTCCTAGGAGATCTGTAATCCTTAAGTTATATCTATACATCCTGTCTTCAAGATCATTCATTTTAGGTTGCATTCTTGTTTTTTGTTTTTCTATAAATATCATTGCCTTTTCCTTCTCTTCTAATTTTTTCTTCTAATTTTCTTTTACTTCCCTATTTGGTTTTCTAAATCTTTTATTCCCTCTTTCAGGGCATGAACTTGTTTAGAGAAATTCTGTATCATGTCTTTTAAATTGTGTCTTCTACAGTTTGTATACTTTAATTCCATATTAAGAATTTCTGATCTAATTTCATTCCAAATTTTTTTGAGGGGGGTTAGGCAATGGGGTTAAGTGACTTGCCTAGGGTCACACAGCTAGTAAGTGTCAAGTGTCTGAGGCCGGATTTGAACTCAAGTCCTTCTGACTCCGGGTGCTCTA